TGCCTGGGATACCAGACCTTGTCAGCTGAACCTCATCTATGCTGGCTGCAGTTGGTCGGTAGTAAATGTTATTACGGTGCACGTACACAAACCCATTTCCTTCTGGAGCCCAAACAACTAACTGATGTACTGTACTCTCAGGTCCGTGGTCACTGTTTTCAAGTGGGATGCTATTTCTGTAATTACAGAGCACTTTAAGTGAATAAAATTATATATATATATATATATATTTTACGATGTTCAAGTTTATTTAAATTTTAATAATGCCTTGATACTTCATTTGTAGCATTTGATGTTTGGTTCAAAGTAAGTCCTCTTCTCTTTAAAAATACGAAGGTGTGTTTGTCTCACCAATTCAATCTCAAATGAAAATCAAAAGAGTTGCAAATTAACATTTTACATTTAATAAAGTAAGACACGCATAAAACTTAACTATAGAAGAAAAACATATGAGCACACTCATCCTTAAAGTATACGTAAGTACCAGCTCCAATTTTCAAGTAGCTAATTCTCAAATTCAGTTTTGTCATTAATTTTCTTATGCTAATTAAAAAAAATCGGTCTTGTAAAATAATAGGTCATAATATACATCTTTAATGACTTTATTATTTTATATATAAAATAAAATTTGGTCACACAAGAATGGCTTAGTAGCACTGTGAGTGTTTTTTAGACAGCTGAGTATGATAACTTACCTTGTTTCTAAGTCAAGAATCTGATAACTGGCAAGGAAACTATGCCTGAAAATCTGGAATAACACAGTTTTGTTTAATTTCATCAAAGTGACACAGTAATATAAATACCTACTATAGCTCTGGAATTTTCTATTTGCCCATACAGCTTCCTACTCAGTGCGTACTTGGGAGCTCTTTCTCCAGGAATAACTGAGATGAACCATGAAAATGATCACGTTCCTCCATATAGTGTCTAGGTTAAGACACTTGAGTATGATTTAAATCACCAGGTACTTACCAAAGTTAATTTTTTAAAATTACTTTTACTGTACTGCATCACTTCATTCAAAAATCAATTTCTCAGCTACAGCTACTGTTTATTTATAATCAACACTTATGAATTCAGTCTAAATATTTTCTTGGCTGGAAGGCTTGCTTCAGGAAGGCTAAAATTGTATTAATGCTACAAAGCCGTGGCCATACTACGTATACAAGTAATATTGTCACCAACTATGAGATGATTATGTACATCTAAAATCTTTGTACTTATAACAGATTACAGCATAATATATTTAATATTCTGATGCATAAATCTTGTTTGTAATTAATATGATCCTTATTCTGTAAGCCTGAAAACTGTATATAATTATTTGTCAAGTTTAAAATAAAAATTCTTGAAATCAGGAGTTAGATTACATTAAAGTCTCAAGATTTAACAAATTACACATATGACTGAACAATGGTTTGTACTTACTTTTCGATAATTATGAGCAATTAGGAGATACCTGCGATCAGCAGAGAATTCAAAATTAAATGGTGCGTCTGGTATCTGCAAATCAAAATGTATGTATGAACAAATGCTATTTGGAAATACAAGATTATCATGCGCCTTTAAAAGACCTAGGCACAAATGGGAGGATAATACTGTGAATTAAAATAAAAGGACAACGGTGAG